TCTTTCTCTAAATCGCTAATCCCATGGCTTAAACTGGAAATCAAAAAGTGGCTTTGGTCGTGACACGGACGGTACGATGATCTGTTTCCCCGAACCAACCTTGACAAGACAAGCCGTAAGACCCCCTTTTGACGACGGTCCGAGGCTTGAAAGATAATTATGGTGTCATTTTCTCAGGACCATTGATCCGACGCTGCTCAAATTGTAAAGAAAAAAAGTGATTTCTTTTTTTTTACTGTGGGGGGGGGGAAAAACGGGCACATAACAATTCGGAGTTTATCGGATAAATCCGAATTGACAAAAATTTTACCGGTGGGTGTTTTTCAGAGTTTTTCGGATTTATCCGAGAACACTGAGCTCTAGCTATAACTGTTCGAAAGAAAAAATCTAAGACAAATGGCACTTTGCATGCACGCTTTACAAACGCCACATTTTGCTTATTTACTTTGAATCTTTTTTTTACAGTTTTAGGCAATTGCATGCAGCGCTTGTACCTACATTTCCGCATTCTCTTTGATGCTTGGGTAATTTAGCGAAAAGTCCATTTTGCATATCTTGCTTCGCTGCAGTTAAAGGGCAACTCCGCTTCATTTTTGATATTTAGAAAACTACGCAGTCCTCTTCAGTATCCTATAGGAAGGCCACATGTAAAACATTACGATCTAATTCCGTCTATATATTTAATAAACTGGCCAGCAAACTTTTATTTGAGCCAAGTCGCCGAAATCTGCCAACTCTAGCGTGCGACGTGAGGCGCAATCATCAGCGTAGTCAATGCCACGGAGTTGGAGCAGCCAACACTGAGCCACTACGTCAGAGGCATGTCTACGTCATTCTCACGTTTTGTTTTTACTTCTCAAAGTGAAATTGAACGATGACGTCATGAGTTTTTCCTCCTAGTTTTGACTCAACGGCGTCCACATGATCACCGTAACATGGATGCGCGATAGTTTTTTTTATAGTTTGTGCTGCCCTGCGCCTCACGTTTTGTTTTTACTTCTCAAAGTGAAATTGAACGATGACGTCATGAGTTTTTCCTCCTAGTTTTGACTCAACGGCGTCCACATGATCACCGTAACATGGATGCGCGATAGTTTTTTTTATAGTTGGTGCTGCCCTGCGCGCTTCTCGAAGCTGAGAGTTAGGAGCAGCACGTTTCGTCTCGTCGCTGCTCTAGTTGAGAAGGACGTTTTGTTTACGATACAAGCGCGGGCCGCATCTCCGACGCCTAGCTGGGCTGAATGTTGAAAGATCCATAGGCTCACGATGTTGTGTTGCTGCCTGCTCGAGTTACCAGTTGACCATCCCGAAATGTGTTTTTCACAAGTTTCCACACAATGTTTTAGCAAACTACATTGGCGAAAATTTTGAAGCAGACAACACTTGCACTTTGCTCTACGTTCGTCCGCCGTCGCATGGAGGATCATGTCACCTTTGAGGCTGTCATTACCCCCGTAGGGGAGGCGCAGACACGCTGTGGTGGGCCCACGCTGAGGTGAAGAGAGACGAGGCAAAAACAATATTTACTGTTCGATAAGAATAGGAGTCGGTGCTAGTGCCACTCGCAGCTCACCGACCGCCAAGGCGTTCTGAAAGGGTTGTGTCCCGGGCTGTCCGTCACTGTGCTGGTGCATGGGCGAGTTGGCTCCGGGGCTCACAGGGTTCAGGGGCTTGGAGCACTGACGCTAGCGGGAGGCCTTGCGGTTGAGGCGATCCGGGCTTCCCAGGGCTCAGGGGCCTGGACGCTGACACCAGCGGGAGGCCTTTGCGTAGTGTTTCTCTGGCGCGCTGTTTTCCGCGCTCTCTCCAGCGTGCTCCCTGGCACTTTTCTCGGCTCGTCTTCCCGCTCAGACTCGCTTCCCCCGACCTGTCGCAACTTGGTCCCCATGTCCGGTTTCTGGGCTCCTCCTCTCCTCTTTCGTCTTCTCCCCTTCCCCCTCTCCCCCGAGTTGTCACTGTTTACGCTATCCGAAGCGCCCTGCTCGCGTCATGTGTCCTCTACCTTGCCCCCACGAACGTCACAAGACCACGTGGTTCGACGTGACGTGGCCATGGCTCTGACGACACGAGACCAATGTTGCCTGACGCAACCAAAGTTTCGGTTTTGGTATCTGCTGATGTTTAATTTAAGATTACACAAATAATATTCCACATTTCGCAAATCCGAAGACGTAGAGCTGTTTAGTAGTGCTTTGGGAAATGGAATCGCATATAAGCCTAAAATTTTTGGAATTGAGCGGAGTTTCCCTTTAAGCCATAGGCTGAGGGGAAAGCATTCTTCTCGGGCGTGTTTCTGAATAGTTTCTGAATAGCCGCTGTGCTATTCATTCAGTAACACAGCGGCTAGTATATATGATAGACTGCGACATTCTGACAATATTTTTTTTCACATTTTAAAGCGACAGCTTTAACGAGCTCAAGTCGCAGAAAAGCCGGCGTCGGCGGCGTGGGATGGGAAAATCCTGATTGATCGATAGGGGTATGACGTCACAGCCACATGACCTTGTGCAGGAATGTCAAACAACCCCCAACACTCACGTGAAACAGAATGTCACGCGTGAAATGAAAATGATTAAAACATGACATGTAATGCGAATTGAAGGTCACCGCATGTCTCCAATGATTTCACTTTATAAAGTAAGTCATTTGTCTTAAAGAAAAATCAAAAACATTTTAGACAGGTGAGATTTTAATATATGACCCTTTGGGTTGCGAGCCAGGCAAGTTACCCACTAGGCCATGCAGACACACTTGCATGACTTGGGAAGAAGCGCGAATTTATATGTTTAGTTATTTTGTTCCACTCTTACAGGCAAAGCTTACGCGTCCTCCTATAATTTTAGATTCATCAAGAACTAATGAGAAAAGTTTTGTGGACTGCTCTACATGTTTAGATTTTTATGTCAGCTCTCATTTAGTTATTACTTTTCTATAGGTTGCATCCGTTCGATTGCATGGCGAATGCAGTAAATTAAAGCTAAATTAGCTGGAGCAGTAGATGCAAACTTTTAAATAGCCCGAACAAGTTCAGCGAGTGTTTTTTTTTTTAAGAAAGCATATTCATTGTTCACATGCTGATTTTTGTTATCATGAAGGTCTGCTTATAAAATGTCATTGATGTTCATATTAAATGGCAAAAACTTTCTCTTTTATCTAAATTAAGAACTGGAGTTTTATTACAACATTTAGAACTTAAAGGAAAAATAAATTTTTGTGCTTTCTAACTTTATTTCAGTGGAATATGCAATTTGGCTTAAATTTGATTTCTTACCTATAATTACCACGCACAGCAGTTTGTACTGCCCTTTGTCATTCCAAGTCTTGTTGCCGTGCCTTGTGCTTCGACGTGCAACTAAACTGCTAGCTGGGGAATAGACCTGCCATGCTGTTGATGCCATAAAAAGGCTGCACAGGAACAGGAAGGCAAGGTAGACATAAACGCATAAACCTTATCCCCCGGCAGATTATTGATGGTCATTGAATTTTATTGAATTTTCACCATGTTCTACTAATATCCACTCCTGAATATGTCTGGAAAATATTTAATCGAAATATTCAGTTATTTCTTAGAAAATTAATTCTGAAGTTTACGCTTACACCTTCGAATCCCTTGCTGCCGCTCTGCTGGCAACACCGAGCGGGGGCACTCGTGGCGTTGGATGTTGTATCCGAGAGCAGGAGACGCTCCCTTCGTAGTGATAGTGAGTGTCTGTGTTTTTGCGAATTGCGTCTGGTTTTGGCTCTTTGCGGCATTGGGTGTTGGTGATTGGCTGTGAGGTGCAATACTAACGCCACGAAGAAACGCAGCTGAGGGACATCTTATTAGTTTCCGACCAAAAAGTCTCTGTGACGAAAATGGGTCCAAGCAGTCCGACGCGAACGCTGGCTCCTAGCGTTTGCTGCGTGCTAGAAAACAGTTTACACCTTGTTATCAAATAAAACCTTCCATGCCATCCTGCTTCGAAAATTAAACTTTATTTAAAAATCATTATTCAAACATTTTTTTGGCAAATTTACTTGGTGCTTAGGCCCTTACTTGTGCTGTTTCAGAAAATATGTTTAGTTGAAAACATTTAAATTGATGCCGGAGCTCCTCTTCCTTAACATGATATTTGAACTGGTAGTAATTAAAATGAAATCTGTGCTTATGCTCCAAAAGTATGTTGTTTTGCTGCTCTAAAATTGACTTTTGGCTGCTCTAGAAGGGGCTCCAAAATGACTCGGACCAATCACATCATTACTCATCTAAGGACATCAGACCTTCACTCTAGCAGACATCAGTTGGGCAAGCCTAACATAAGAAGAAAGGAAAGAAAAAGAAAGGAAAACAGTGTAGAACTAAAGAAAAACTGTCAAAGGTGGAGGACCAAGATAGCAGAAAGCACTGTATCGCTTACTGAGCCCAACACTCATCGGGTTCAACTGTGGGTCCTGGCCTCAGAAAAAGCAAGCTCTCCCCTTTACACAGAAGTTTCACATTACCAGAAATCCTCCATATTGCTTTAATATTGTCACGCCAGACGTGACAAGGTCTGTGTACACTCGGAACCATTTCTCTGCACTCGCAAAGAAAATAAAATGGCTCATAAAGACACAACGACAAATAGAAATAATGCACAAACTCAGCGATAACTATCGACTGTCATTCTTTCTTTTCAGAAATACTAGTTGATATTTGGCCCTGCGTCTGTGTCTTCCTTCTTCTTGACCTTGTGTCCTTTTGCACTATTTTATTTTCCTCGTAACATGTACAAACCTGCCCACCTACAAACATCACTCCTGTACATTTGCTCGCGACATCTCTGAGCCTCGTTCGTGTCCCTTACAGGGCCCACCTTAGAAATTTTGTGTCATGACATCACATGACACAGCACAGTGTCACATGCATGACACTGTGCCACGACTCTCACAATGTGCCCTTCAGGGGCCTCCTTACTACGCCTGCAAAAGGAGGGACGCTATAAATTCCACGCATTATTTTTTTCTCCTTGGCGTCGCAGATCTGCCCATTGGTGGAGAAGCTGCTCCCATCTCTGGCCAAGTCCCCGGCCTCTCAGCGGTGCTCGTCGGGGGACCGTCTTGTTCAGCTCCTCATTAAGGGCATCCTGTACGAGTCATGCGTCAACCTCTGCCAGAGGAAAGCCACTTCCCCTCCGACCACACACGAGGAGCCCACGTTCACGGAGCTCCTGGGCAGTTCCGACGCGGACCTCAGCCTGTTCTCTTGGCTTGAGTGCCTCCCGCCGGAAGTGTTCTCCTACCCGTTTGAGCAGAAGGTCCTCAACGTGGACATCCAGCAGCTCGTCAAGCCTTTCCTTGAGGCCTCGTGGACGGAGCAGATCCTTGCCACTCCCATAAAACCAAGGGTGTTCCCGCACTCTGCCGTCCCAAGGACTCCCATGAGCCGGTCACTCATCATGGCGAGCATGGACGGCGGCCTCTTTGCGGCTGGGACCTCCGGTCACCCAGGGGCCAAGATGGCCATGTCCATGGCCGACCTCTCGACCTCCATGTCGAGGTCGTTTGGCGGTTTCCACCTGACAGGGAAGAAGCTCATGAACACGTCGGTGGACCGGCTGTTCGAGGCCGGCGACGTCTTTAGCACGAGCTGCGTGGACATCAGGACGGGCACCCTCCCGGGGCTGCTGAAGGAAGAGGAGGAAGAGGGTACGGAGAACGGAGACAAGAGCAGTCTCGTGGAAGGCGACAAGTCCGAGTTCTGGAAGGAGTTTCAACGGCTGAAGCGGAACGTGCACCACAACTCAGATGCCGCGGTGGGAACCGCGAGCGTTGGGGACGTGAGCAGCACACCGTCCTCCGCCGCCGCTCCAGCCGTGGCTAAACCGCTACAAACAGCTACAAAGGCAGAAACCACTTCAGCAAGGACGACGCCGGTGAATGCGACTTTTGTGCCCGTGGCTGCGGCTGGGGCAGTGGCTCCCGCTACTGTTACCCCGCAGCCTGTTCCTGCCGCGCCGAAAAGTGGGGGAGGGACCGTTACCTTTAAGACTAGTACCCCACGGACACAGAGGACAGTACCGTCTCATGTGATGACAGTGACGGTGGACGGTTTGGCCAGGAAGCTTGACGATGAATTTCGCCACGTAGATAGGTAAGCAGTTGAATTGCACTTTTGTTGGAAGTTGGGACTAGTGGCACGCTGTAGATTGCAAGAGGAAGTATGGTGTCCAATCAGCAAAAGAGGTGGGAGCATTAGTGTGGTTCACCAATCGTGAAGCGGTTATTGCGATGCGGTGTTTTTGTGCTTTTTGAAATTGACGCACAAATAGGCAAGAACTTGTTTGGACGCACTGTACTGGCGTGTCAAATATCCATCCAATCAGATGTTCTGTTAAACCGGAGGGAAGTGAATCCTGCCTCGAAAGCCAGTTCTCCAAAATTTTGTTCATCTGAGAAACCGGTTTTACGAACCAGGTATTTTATTTTATCTCTTGTATAATAATAATAAGGCTTTTATTTCATTTTTACTTCATAGTCCTACAATCACAAATATGCACCATCTTCCTCTGGCAAATAGAAAGCAATAAATGTATTAATTTCTAGCGTACTATAAGGGGCACTTTGTCCAGCTTGTTTTGCACACAGCTGGGTGTCTACCCAACACAAGGCCTCTACACCGGAATAGTTTCGTCAATCAAGCCCGGAGCATAGATTTGACAAGACTGCTGCTTCAGTGTTCGGCTAAGATTCTCGTGTTCAATTTGTCAACCGAGCACTGCATTAGAAACACAAAAAAATCATTTATGTTACTGTTGTCCCAATGGGTGTAGTTCTCAGCTTAGCCGCTGGGGGTGTGATGGTTGGATGAACGAGTGACCTCTAAGGATCCCCCTTAATTTTCAAAACATGTGCACAACAAGTTGTGAAATCCCCGAACGAAAAGCTGCTGGGGCAAACTTTTATTTCGGCCGAACAATCTCGATTTTGGTATAGACGATAATGTATATGAATACTCGCACATCCAGGGATGTAAATAACCGACTAACATAGGCGGTTGATTGAATATCTGATTATCTTGTTTTCAAATTAAAATAATTAGCCAATTTTGATTTACTGATTATTTCAAATGTGTCTGTACTGCTGCCACTACATTGTACTACCGATGATGATAGTTTCTAATGTATAATAGTTACAAACGAAGCAAGCATTTTTTTCTGCAATATTCTTCATGAATATTGCGTAAGAAATAGCTCCTAGAACAGCAGTAAAACACATTTCTAGGAGCTATGCCCTTTACACTTCAGAACACTGGTGTTGTGACATTTGTATGTATTTGATATTTTGTTTAATGAGTCTACTGCAGATCAAAACTCTAGTAATGTCACATTTTGATGGACGTGATATCTTGCTTTAAGGGTGTGTCAAAGATAAAAGCTTTTATAATGTAACTTTTCATGCTTTTGGCATCTTAGTTAATGAATGCTTTTTCTGCGTGGTCATCTTTTCAGCTGCCATGACCCAAGCGATTCCAGTGTTCACTCTGAATCTCTCGGCTCACTGCGACATTCTCTTCCTCAGCCTTCATCCGCAAACTCTGCCAGGGTCCTCATCAACACTGTAAGTCCACGTGTGACTACTCTTGACTCTTTGTTCAGGCATCTATATTTTGGCATGTATAGGAAGAACTTATGGCATGCTTTGATTTATACAAAAAATCTGAAGACAAACCCGGCTTGTCCATTGATGTCTCAGCTTACTTGCCAATGTAAGTTTACACCTGCTTAATTAAGGTGAGCTAGTGCCTCCGAAACTGTGGAAGCGGCGTCGCGACAAATTTAGCAGTACAAACCTAGCTTGACTTAATTGTAACTCATGGTACAGCTGGCTAAGATGCTTTCTTAAAATGATGTCACAGTGACTTCTAAGGTGCTCCAAATACAGATTTTTTTTTTTTATCCTTATTGCTCCTAAAGGCAGATTCATCTGATCTTAAGCTTCTTAAAAATGCAGATTTTTCTACTTCTTTGCTGCTAAAATTTTGTAGCAGAAACCTGTGCATTTATGAAAATTTTTCGTGTCCAAGAATTGATGAAAAACCAGGTTTGCCCCACTTTTGAAGAAGGTTTGCAATGAAATTTGTTTGCCATGTTACCATGCAGTATTGTAGCTAACTGTGACTAACACCCCTGCATATGCCTGTATGCAATTAATTGTTGACTTTTCCACCTTTCTGGTGCTTTCTCTCAAGAATGGCAGTATGCAGCAAAGGGGGAAAAAGCAGGGGGATAGGGAGGCACCAGTCAATTACATAGGAAGCGGGTGAGCCAGCCGCACCTTGGCGGTTGCCCATTGTTCGCTGCCACCTAGTGGTAGCTGGCGCAGAATCATCAAGAAGCAATGGCGACGAACAGCACAGCGGATGGTGTCCTTGTTGTGATTTCGACGGGATTTAAGGCGGTTACAAATCCAGAAAGCTTCTTCCGTGGTGCCAATATGATGAAGGAAAAACTCTTTCATGAATCTGGCCTTGTGTACGACGTGGCAAGATTGTGACATACACTCGTCGACGGACAAGTGGATGTCACAGAGCACTGTACTCCGCAGACGAAATTGAGCGCATCCACAAAAATATTGCAGTGGCTTAGCTCGGCTATGCCAGGATATACGTAGCGTGAGCTTATGCGCACAAAATGAGAGGCGCTATCAAGTGGCTCCGGTGCAGCGTCAGACTTGGCTATGACGTCACTCCTCTGGAATGCGCAGACCGGCGAGAGGCGCGCGGTGGCGGCAAAGAGCGCAGCGTCGGCGGCTCCGGCGTGCCAGCTGTGCGCTGTGTGACGTCACTGGTCCTCGCGCACGCGTAGACCGGCGAGGCGCACGTGGCGGTGGCAGAGCGCGCGGCGGCGGTGGCTCTGGCGCGACAGCTGTGTGTCGTGTGACGTCACTGATCCTCGCGCTTGCGCAGCACGGCTCTTTGACAGCCACGTGAAACTGTTCAACCTCGGCCAGTGTAACTCGCACTACAAAACATAGAGCTTCGCGTAAGTACATAACAGAGTGTTCTTAGTTGGCGTTGAGTGGACTGCACTAATGATGTAGGTTTATTGCTTTTTGAATGAGCTTGACAACAACCAGGTGATTGTTTTCGTGCCATTCCGCGATTCCCAGCACTACTCTCTTCCTGCAGGCTGATGGAAACATCCAAGGGTGGGGGTTGTAGCTTGGTGGGCAACCTTGTCCCGCCTCTCGTTCTTGGTGGAGTATTTGCTGCATATCTTAGAGTTTTTTGTAGGTGTCCATGTTGTTCCATCGTCGCTAGAAAAGGTTATTTGTATTGTTCGTCAGCAGCTTAAAGCAAAACGCAAACTGCAAGGTGAAAAACGCCACTTACTTGCATGGACGCACAAGTCGCACCCAGGTCGCATGGTGCTTCGCCTCATACGGCTTCAAAGGGAAGCTGCAAAACTTTGTGTTCTTGTACGTACTGTTGCAGCCGACCACACAGCAGTTGTGGCTTTTTTGGTGCGAAATAGCCATCTCAGAAATGACAGCGCTAAACCACTACAACGCACAACCAACGCAGCGACTGGCAGAAGCTTCCCAATGAAACGGAGCTGTTTGCCGCTAGGGGTGTCCTGGTCGGAGCTTGAATTAGGTCCTCTCAGTTCCCATAGCATGTGAGCAGATGTGATGCTGTGATTGGCTGGCTCTTTCACTAAAATATGGCAGCATTCATCTGAGGGGGAGCGAAGCTGGGAGATGGGAAACTGGCATGGAAAGGGAAATGGCATTACTTTATAAATTAGTGCCATTTCCTTGTGACGCTATACGTCACAATTCGTTGTGACATCATTTGTCACAGCTATTGGTGACACATAATCACACATTCAATTGGAATCTGTGGCATCACATTATGATCACATGCAACATCTAATTGTGGAGTCGTTTTTTGGATGTTGTGCCAAGGAGCAAGAACTGTGAAAAGTACTTTTGAAAAGCAATCAAGTTATGGTTAACCAAGTCAGTATATAACTCTGTTAGTGATGCAGTCACATGCTTTCAAGTATATTTAGGAGCGGTGATGGGATTGCTGTTTCATTTGAACCAAACTGCAAATGTGCTCGGCCCTCGACATTCTGCTACATTTCACCAAAATGGGAGGTATTCGGGCCACATTGGCACCGAAGCCAGTGGCGTCACAAGGGAGGGCGGGGGAGCAAACCGCCCCGGGTGCCGCTGACACTAGTGACACCACTGACCGAAGCTACATATCTCTGATTCCAATACTAATACCTCAAGCCTCTGCTCCACTGCCGTATTATTATGGTAGGCTTTTATGAACTTACGAAACCATCAATTATAGTGACTTTCAAATAGTCTGCTATTCGATTCTACCTTTATATCGAATACTGACAGTATATGGAAGTTTCTCAATATTTCCACATTATTCGAGACCTGCTTAACTCTTTCCTGACCATGGGAAAGGTAGCAATAGACCGATCTCACCAGCCAGTTTGAATACGCCACTGCTGTCGCCATGCATCGAGGGAACTTTAGTCTTTCTGCACATGCAACAACCTTGTTGGAGCCCTGCGTGTGTGGAGCATGAGACGGCACGAGCCCTCGCATGCACGGCCGTCTGCCCTCTTTGAACTAAAGCTATGGCGGCATCACGCTTGCGCCGAACGCGTAGTGAGATCGGTCTATTTTTAAGGGATCTTATCAACTGCTTTTATTTTCCTAACTAACTTGCATATGCAGCCATATGACACATCAAAATGTGGTCAATTAGTTGTTCTTTCAAAAGAAACAGAGGTTGGTAAAATGCGTGAAAAGGGTGTTAAAATTTAATTTCTTGAAAATACAATGTAACGCGTGCAAAAGGCGTAGAAAGGCCAAAACTTCTACAACTATGTCAAATTAAACGACAGATAAGAAAAATTCCGAATATACAAAATGTGCCCCACACTTACAGCTATTGCTCCTGAAAGTTAGTGTACTTTAAGTGACGTCTATTTTTGGTTCGTTGGAGAGTTAATTTCCGCAACACGTGTGCTTTTCAGCAAAGGGATGCTTATATTGGTAAAACACAGATCGTTCACCTCACATCCCCAGCAGAATGTGTTCTCTGCATTCTGCATTCGTTTTGTTTTAGCCCTGATTGCAGTTCCTTCATATTTTGGTCTGCCTTGTTGGGAACATAGAAAGCGTATGCCGGCTCAGGACAGCACTGAAAATTATAGTGATGCAAAGCGACGTCTATAACATAATTTAAAGTGTGCTCAGAGCTCTTGAGGCATAAAAAATATGCCACAATATAGTTGAATTGTGTAAGTAATGCCATTTTTGTTACAAAGACTGATGCAAGCAGTTAGTTATGTTCGACAAGTGTAGCCCACTTTTCAAGGACTATTTCTGACAACCCACCAGCTTCTAATCAACCTCAAACCTGGGTTGAAACCGAAACTAGAGTTCTTCGGCTATCCACGAGATTGTAAAACATAATCCTCAACACTAAATTTAATTTCTTGTCAGTGCTTGGAAACCATCATTCATCAGTGATCGATGGCCTATGGTTGCAGCAAAAACAGTTAAAAGCAAAAAAGAAAAAAAAAATTTATATAAAAAGCTCTTAAAAATCAGATTTGTGTGTGTAAATTATGTTTTTTTTTATTTAAATGAAAGTTATATAATTTATAACACTATGTAAAAAAATAGTGATTTTTTCTTACATGGTTTTTATTTAAGCATGCCAAATTGATTCTTTAATTCACCCAATTGTTAAAAACTGTGTTGAAGAGAAGTTTTCTCTAAATTTAGGCATATTGTAACAACTTTTTTTATTCTTGAAGTAAAGTATGTCATTCAGCGACCAAAACAGATAAATGTGTTTAGTAAGTTAAAAAACTTGCTCTATTCACTGCAGTATTTCAGCGAAAAAAAAAAAAAAGCAGGAGTAGCTTTTGAGTTTACAGATGTGGAAGTATTGTGGAAACAGCTTCCGTCTATTTCTTAACTATTCTTTTAAATGCTTGCAGGCATTTTTTTCTTCCGTCAGCTTCGAGCTCACGGTGCACCTGTTTCTGTTGCGTCTGTGGCTGGCTCCAGAGGAAATGTTAATTAATGGTCGCTGGGCTGCCATAAAATTGCTCAGCAGCAAAAGGAAAAAATCTTCAGCGATATAGAATTGTAGCTTTTGAACTTTGCTTTTCTTTTGATTTTGGGTGCTCAAGGGGGTGGTGTAGTCTTATAAAAGAAGTGGCCATCTCGTGTAAGGCAAAAGGGATGTACTGGCTTCTGCAAGATCAATCTAAGATGTATAACTCGTTCCGATTGTCTCTTTCAGTCTCTCACTCTCTCGCTTGTGTGCGCCCTAAATATTTTTCTTATTTTTTTTTACTTCCGATTTGTTTGCTTGGGATACCTTGTAACTAACGAAGGGGTTGGTAGAAACAAAACACTCCTTTCCCATTTGCTCAGGAGAGCACTGCCATTGGCTCGTGCTTATCCTGATATAAATCTCTCTTGCTTGGCGATTATTTCATTTAAATACAAATTCAGTGCACGTGGAATGAAATGGTAGACAAAAAGGAGAGAAAAATATTTTTAGATTTTTT